AGTAACAGTATTCAGATGTGAACAGTAACAGTATTCAGATGTGAACAGTAACAGTGTGTAGATGCAAACCATTTTTTCCAGTAATTAAACAGAGGTGGCCAGCTCAGGCCAGCAAAATACTCCAGATGTGTCATTTCAGTCTGGCCAATCAAGAAATTTTTACCGGATGGCAGACAGGCAGTGAGTTCATGGGAGGAGTGGGAGGGGTGGGAGGGGTCCTCCACAATGCTGGACACTTTGAGGATGCAAGTGAAAAATGCCCCGGACACAGGGTGAGGGAGAGAGGCGCTGATGATGGGGTCAAGACCATCCATGCAAAATGTGAATGAAGACTATCCTGTGTGGTGCCAGCCTACAGGTGGGCTGCTGTGGCAAATCACAGATAATTTAATTAATGGAGCTCTGCTGTGTTGGGCTATGTAGCTGTGCATTGGTCTTGTCTTGGGGCTATGTAGCTGTGCATTGGTCTTGTCTTGGGGCTATGTAGCTGTGCACTGGTCTTGTTTTGGGGCTATGTAGCTGTGCATTTGTCTTGTTGGTCCAACGCATCCTACAGATGCTCAATATGCACACGTCTGTTTTGAGTTGTTAGGGAGTTGAGTTGTAGATTTGTACCTTTTCTTTTGTAAGTTAGTTAGTTGATGACCCACCATTCCCTCACACACACACACACCTACGGGCAACTTACTAACTCCAATCCTCATCATGTTTTTGGACTGTGGGGGGATACCAGAGTACCTGGAGGAAACCCCATGATGACACGGGGAGAACATGCAATCTCCACACACATGGAGGCACAGTGGAGACTCGAACCCTGGTCCCAGTGGTGCCTCACCATGGCAGTCCTAACATATCTGCATTCAAGAAAATCAAAAAGCTGAGCCAGCATGAAATGGAACCACACTTTATACTTTGAATAAATATCTTACCCAGTTTACTGACACATTTCTCCTTCTTCCCGGGCTACGGCAGGTCGGATTTAAGTGCGGAGCATGAATAAGCTGGCGCCTCCTGATTTCCCTGGGTCAACAGGGCTTACGTCTCACTTTTTTAACCAATAACAGTCTCCTGCATATGACATCGCCACATTAATTAAAACCAGTGGTTTCTGTTTAGTGGCAGATTTCGAAAGTACCTGTTTTACTGGATAAACTTCTTGGTAAGTAACATGTCAAAGACAAACAAAGACAAAACATAGGATTGTGCTTACCTGCAAAGGCTGTAAGTGTATTTATTTATTAATAATAATAATAATAATAATAATAATAATAATAATAATGCTTGAATCAGCAATCTTGTGATCACAAGCATAGAGGCTTAGCCCACTGAGCCACACACTGTGCTCAGCCAGGTAGCTTAAAAATACAGAAAAAAAACAGCTGAATGTGGTGATGTCATATGATGGAGACTGCGACTGGTTAAAGTAGTGAAAGACAAACCCCTCCCTTGTTGACCAAGGGTCACATTGAACTCGGCAAAATCAGGATGTCAGAACAGGTTTATTTCAGTTTCTTTTTTTTTTTGTAAGACACACTGAGTCTAACCTGTTGTGGCAAGATGTCCTAGTGGTTCTCATTGAAGTGTCACACCTCTGGGATTTTGGGTTTATTTCCCAGCATCCACACTGCATTAGTGGAGTGAGCTGGTGTCCCTGATTTGTCCATTGTGTGTGTGTGTGTGTGTTTGTGTGAGTGTGTGTGCGTGCGTGTGTGTTTGTGTGAGTGTGTGTGCGTGCGTGTGTGTTTGTGTGAGTGTGTGTGCGTGTGTCTGTGTGTGCGTGTGTGTCTGTTTGTGTGTCTGTGTGTGTGTGCGTGTGTGTGTGTGTGTGTGTGTCCTCAGCATCCTGGGATACGTGCTAGGCTTACCCTTACCTTTACAATGCAGTTTTTCCAAGATGGATGGATTGAGTCTAACCTGACCGTACTTATGTATAATTGCTAATGTACAGTATATACAGTATATTTCATTTATATTTCAGAAAATCTCCTTATATTTGCATTTGTGTGTGTGTGCAAGTAAGAAATAAAATACCCTGGGTTAATGTGCTTCATACAGCCCAGTAGTAAAGTGCATGATTTGGAATTTGATACACAACCCTGTTTCTTTCTCCTGCAGCTTCTCACTGTTGCCATAACTACAGAAAATTCAGCTTTATTTTATTCTTGATTTCACATAAAATTTGCCCAGCAGAGTAGCAACTTTGCCAATGCCAGAGAAACATGCACAAGCATAACATGGCCATACACAATATGACACAGCAGCATTAATCCCTGACCACAGCAGCTAGGAGGGATTATTGATGGTTCCTTGTTGCTGTAATGAAACATCCAGACTGAGTGAGCCAGAAGTTAGACTGATTCTTTTGTGATTAGCTGGGTCACTTTTCATTTACACCTTCAGTTTGAAAACACTGAGCTTAAACGGTAAAGTATCCCCACTACAGAAGCATGGTTTTTAGAACAGTTATAAAACAATTTGGAACCGTTTGATTTAACCCGAGCTGTTACGTTTGGAGATGAGTATTCAAAGCAGTCATTTGTTGCCATGAACCTCCAGATGTATGAAACAGGTTTCAGTGTGATGGGGAGAGGCACCAATGTGCGGAAGTGCAAAGACACACAGTTATAAACGGTCACTGAGCGCCTTGTTCCAAAAGAGCTTAACTCCATGTACATACATAATCAGCAGCTACTGTTAAACAGAAGCTTTTATTTGCCACTGTTTCCTTCTAATAAATTACAGTTAGAACATACAAACGCTTCACTGTCCATTTTTCATAATGAATAATACAACATACTGTAAGTGCCAATCCTACACTGAGTGGGGAAAACAGAACAGGGATATTCTTCTGGTTTTTTTTTTCTTCAAAGAATGTATTGAAAGTGAAATCTTTTGTACTTCTTTGCTATAAATTATCAAGATAATATTCCTAGCCTGTGGCCTGTACTACGAAGCGGGGTTACTGGCTTATCGGGGTAACTTGTCGGATTTAAGGTACCACAGTTTAAATGGACTTCATATTCGTTCACTTACATTTTGCCCAGACTACCTTAAATCCGACAAGTTACCCCGACTACTTTGTAGTCCGGGCCACTGTTTAGATGTGGTATAAACTGCTTTCAGAGACAAAGATGCATATAATAATAAACAGCATTTTCGGCAGCTGTGTTATACACAAAGCAAGGAGTAACCAGCAGAGGGCAGCAATGATTAAACACAAATACACACACTGAAAAATTGGAAAGACAGTTTGAAGGAAAAACGGCTTTATTTCTCTTAAGGGATCAATGCCTACTTCTGCTTGCTATTACACACTGATAAGTAAAGTGCATACAGGAGTGGGGGGGCTAGCATTAATTCAAAGCTTCACTTCCACATTTCTCAGTTGGGCATTTGGCCATTGGGGGATTTGCATAGCAGCTCCAGATCAGCTCTGGAATTCGAATAGCATTATTACTTACAGTTATCAGTTACATATCACACTACACATATGCCCACGTATTTTCCACGTATGAGTTCACCACACATACCCATGGTACTTTTTATACAAACGTACTATTTTTTATCCCTGTGGTAGCATAAATGTGAGACATGTGGGTAGTATGTTTATTCACATCACATTTAACAACACTATAGGGAACCACACAGTACAGGCATATAAAAAGGCATTGAACAAAGCACCTTGAAACAGCACAGGCACACGTGGAAGGACTGACCTATATATACTCAGCAAAAAAAGAAACGTCCCTTTTTCAGGACTGTGTATTTCAACAATAATGTTGTAAAAATCCAAATAACTTTACAGATCTTCATTGTAAAGGGTTTAAACAATGTTTTCCATGCATGTTCAATTAACCATAATCAATTAATTAACATGCACCTGTGGAATGGTCGTTACGACCTTAACAGCTTACAGAAAGTAGGCATTTAAGGTCACAGTTCTAAAAACGCAGGACACTAAAGAGACTTGTCTACCGACTGTGAAAAACACCCAAAGAAAGATGCCCAGGATCCCTGCTCATCTGCGTGAACGTGCATTAGGCATGCTGCAGGGAGGCATGAGGGCTGCTGATGTGGCTAGGGCAATAAATTGCCATGTCCGCACTGTGAGACGCCTAAGACAGCGCTACAGGGAGACAGGAAGGACAGCTGATCATCCTTGCAGTGGAAGACCACGTGTAACAACACCTGCACAGGATCGGTACATCCGAATATCACACCTGCGTGACAGGTACAGGATGGCCACAACAACTGCCCGAGTCACACCAGGAACACACAAGCCCTCCATCAGTGCTCAGACTGTCCGCAATAGGCTGAGAGAGGCTGGACTGAGGGCTTGTGTGTTCCTGGTGTGACTCGGGCAGTTGTTGTGGCCATCCTGTACCTGTCACGCAGGTGTGATATTCGGATGTGCATGTTAATTAATTGATTATGGTTAATTGAACATGCATGGAAAACATTGTTTAGATCCTTTACAATGAAGATCTGTAAAGTTATTTGGATTTTTACAACATTATTGTTGAAATACACAGTCCTGAAAAAGGGACGTTTCTTTTTTTGCTGAGTATAGTTTCAGCTTTTGGCACCTGTGTTAGCAGAAGTTTGGTCAGACTGCAGTCTCAACAGTGCTGTTGTTTTACTGGTAGCTTCACAGTAAACATGTAAATCTGCAGTATCCCTGGACTAGTGCAGTATGGGGTATCGGGCAATCAAAAACTACAATTACAAGCAGCTTTCCGGTGGCGAGAGAAGTGTTTGATTGCAGAATGCTGTGAGTCGTGTGACAAACAGATGTTGTATTCTCCAGTTACCAAACGGTGGAATTCTCCAGTTACCAAACGGTGGAATTCTCCAGTTACAAAACAGATGTGGTATTCTCCAGTTACCAAACAGTGGAATTCTCCGGATACCTAACAGTGGAATTCTCCAGTTGCCAAACAGGTGTGGTATTCTCCAGTTACCAAACAGTGGTATTCTCCAGTTACCAAGCAGTGGAATTCTCCAGTTACCAAACAGTGGAATTCTCCAGTTACCAAACAGTGGTATTCTCCAGTTACCAAACAGATGTGGTATTCTCCAGTTACCAAACAGTGGAATTCTCCAGTCACCAAACTGATGTGTTATTCTCCAGTTAAACAAAAGATTTGGCTTAAACAGCGTGGAGCACAGTGGAGGGATGTGATAGTAAAGTAAGGGTCTTACATGCTTACATGAGCTGCTCTTCATCAACCAAATCTGTACCTTAATGCTACTGACAATACAAAGGGGCAGGAATAATGAGAAGCAGCCACAGCGGCTTGGTGCGCTGACATTCTGAAGGTCCCACATAAATATAACATATCAACCATATGTAAACCACTAATCTGAATAAAATCACAGGATAAATTAAGAAGGACATGACAATGGCACATTTTAAATTCTGAAGTCAGTAAGTCTGTAGTCAGTCTTGGTCCTAGAGGAAAAAATTTTTCCTTTTACCTTTTGCGAATGTATCAGTGCTGATAATCACCAGGCCTTGCCTTCAAAGCCCACCCTAACCCTAACCCCTAACTCTAACCCTACACCTAACCCTAACCTACACTTCCCCTCACAGATGTGTTTACATCGGAAGGTCTTGGTTACGTCCCCTGAACCCAGCAGATGTCACATTTCAGTACCAACTGATTACTGGAAAATCAACCAAGGAAGGAAAAAAGTACATGAATGCTTTACACAGCATTGTAATTTTTTGTCAGATCTCATGTTTGACAGTTTCACTTTAATGGGGGTGGGTATTGAAGTATACCATTAAAATGCGGGTAGTGTTTATGCAATAGAAAAACCTATCAGAGCCTCTGGGGGTGACTCCTTTGCTAGTTAGGGGATTGTCAGTGTCACAAACAGCTGCATATCAGAGGAAGGACCATAACAGTCCTGGCAGAAACCCAGAGTTTCAAGAACTAAGCTTCAGGCACTGAGGAATACAAACGCAAAGGAAGGTCCTGGGGCAGTGAGCATATCTTCAGATTCCGCTGTCAGCCAGTGATAAAGTGGCTTGTCAGAGACTCGACTAATGATGAAATGCAGAAACGCTCTGTGTGGGCAGGAACGATCAATAAGGAGTCAGTAGCTACACATAATTAAAAGTGAAGTGAAAATGAAGTGAGTTGCAAATTCAAGGGCATCTTGATACAAGGACAAAATGAGGGTGATTAAAAAGAGTTGACACGGATAAGTTTAAAATGTCTTAAATACCAACGAAGTCAATAAGTGTTTACACTCAAATAACACATCAAAAATTGTGGATAAGACTGTCAGCATATTCAGCCAAAGATTCAGCCACTCCTTCAAAAGAAATAAAAATTAAACAAGGGAAAGGGGATAAGGATGGAGATTTATGTAATTGTCTTTAAACGCTTAAGAAATCCAGAAATAATCCTTTCCATACAAGTACAAATTTATTTATATACACAGCATGAGTAGAAAGAAACTATGTTAAGTAGCCCAGTCTTGATACAATTTGTAAAGGAAAAAATTCAATATAAGTGAACGATGAATAATAATAAAAACATAATGCAAGAGAAATTCCACAAAAAAAAAATATATAGTAAAAAATGTGATATGTGAGTAGAAATTTCTGTCGGTGAATAAAACCCGGCAGAGCAGCCATATTAGTTTAAGCACAGTTGTTAATTTAATTCAGGCGACATCATTCATCATCTCAGCGTAATAGAAAAGCAAAGGGGTTAGCAGCCACAGTGAGAATCACACTTCTTTGTTTTTAGACATTATCTTCAAAAATAGTTCACACAACCCTCACCACATGGACTGTTGCTAAGACACATTATGGCGAAGTTTTCCAGTATTCCCTGTCTCAGAACGACCCTTTTCATTAATAAAACACAAACCGTTGTTTATCTTATTATTATTTAAAAAGGGTTCAATTTAATGTATATACATATGTAATTTTTTTCTAGTATGGCTATTTTAGTATGCAAAACTTTGGATATACTCCACGTGTACTTACACATAGTGAACATATTCAGGAAAGACCAGAGACACACAATTCCAGTCAGAATCCTCTCTTTAAAATCTAAGAAAAAGGGGCCTTCTTAGTGGTTGTTCAGGAGAGGTGTACAACATTGGAAAAAGATGTGCATAGCCAAAAGATTTTCAACAAACTAATTAAACTCCATAGAAAATTAATCATCCCTTTGATTTCGTTTTAAACCCATCAACACAGAGAAAAAGAACTTTGGCAGACTGCATGTCGACTATCAGTCTCATGTCAGAAATTACACATAAGTGAAAGGATTAATAACACAGAGGAACTAAAGACACATGAGAGGTAACCTATTTGCTTGTTAAATCTAAGGGATAGACAATAGTAAACATCTACTCCATTTCAGGTCAATTAGCAATGAAGAAATTCTCAGAGATTACAATGACCGTCCTGCAAGCTGACCTGAACTTCTTGGACAGAGTGGTTGAGAGTGAGACTCCATCTGAACAAACAGCCTGCATGATGTCTGATGTGAACATTGTGCCAAGAGGCAAGTCTGTCTGGAAGCTGGATGAAATGCATTTTCATGTTCTACATTCAGGTGGAAATGCTAAAACATACTGACAACCACAACACCATACTTAGATAACAGTGCACACCACAGCTGCTGAACGGCGTGGTACAATCTCTCTACTCCCTACTGTAAGTGGTACCACAAAACACCTGGCTGATACCTAGGGCACATTTACAGATAACTCTGAAAATAACAGCAGCCAGTCTCTCTTATCCCTCTATCCGAACTGTACAACCTCTTCGCACATTATGAAAAAAAGCGTATGCCTCCTCATATCAGTAATTACCTTCAGGGGCTTGTATCATGAAGCTGGGTTTCTTGCTTAGCCAGATAACTTGTCAGATTTAAGGTAGTCTGGGCTAAATGTAAGTGAACAAAGATTGTTTAAACCGGGGTACCTTAAATCCAACAAGTTATCTGGCTAAGTAACAAATCCAGCTGTGTAGTACAGGCCCCATGTCTCTTCTGTTGTTGAATAGGTATGTTGTATATTATTATTATTATTATGTTTAATTAATAATAATAATTATTATTATTATTATTAAATATTAACAACCATAATAATAATTATTATAGTACAAATACCGTACACTCACATTGTCCATCTCACGGAGGGCTACATATATTTTCGGTTTCTTGGTAACACTGTGTCTGATCATAAAAGAGATCATAAAGCCTGGCTTGAGAAACATTTTCATTTTCCACAATATTCAGTGTATGACATAAGGTCTAGTTCAACCCACATCAGTCCAAAAGGTTTAACTAGTGTTTAAGCCTCGGGGAGCCTAGCCGGTCCATGTTTTTGCTCCCTCCCAAGTCCCTGCCTCACTGCTCCCACTCAGATCACTGCTACCAGGAGCTGGGAGGGAGCAGGTTGAGAAGCACTAAATTAAGGCACGTAACTGTGCTCTTCTAGTGTGCTGCCGGAGCCTAGAGCTGTTCTATTACTGAATCCTTCCTGCTACCCTGGGTGGAGGAACATGCTGATGTCAGACAGATCCTAAGATGGTTATTCCTCCATGTCAGAAAGGCTACAGGCTGTGTAGGGGTGGAGCCGGTCAGGGGGCTCAGGCCAATAGCAGCCAAGCGTTTCCACCCCAGAAAAAGAGCATCAAACAAACAAAGGTTGGTCTCACCTATGATTTACAAACCAAAGGTCTTTAATTTTAAGTTAATTTAAGTACCACGTTATTTTTTTCTTTATTAACATTAGCTGTGAAGAATAACTCCATTAGAAACATCCCCTTTTAAAACGATACAAGGAGAACTGCATGAAAATGATTCACTCAACACCATTATGAAAGAAGCACGCGATTTCTTTGGAAACAAACATAAATTCAACAACTAAAGCTTCTTAATGCATTTCTGTATTTGACCTAACAGCACAGGAGCACAGAACTTGCATGGCTAAAACAAAAATAGTCACCAAACAACATCCACTCTTGGTGTCGGACTTGGTGAGGGTGAGCAACAGCTTTCCCAAGATTGAACCAAAAGAAAAATAGAGAAGTGACTCTCACGTCCGCTTCTTTGTTAGAGTGAAGTCTGTGCAGTGCTCTCTCGTTTTTCTTTTTAAAGCTGCTAAAAACAATTGGGTCCACAAAGACGATGAGTTTTCTTATGTGTTAGTGCAGTAGCATCTAGGGTGCTACGTGGTGCATTGGTAGAACTGGCCAGGGATTCTGACAAGCAAAGGTCCACGTTATGAGCTGTGTCCAAGATTACTTGGGTGATGAAACATCTGGAGAAGAAAAAAAAGCACAGCTTCATATTGCAGGGTGCACAGTAGAAGCTCCTTTGTTTGTTGCTAAGTATTCTCACTGATGACTTCAACAAAAGTGTTATTTTGGCATTTGGTGGTGAAGCCTGACATGTAGAAGAAGGAATCACTCACCTACATCTGGTGGGAAGACATTCCTTAGTTGTTCAATTACCTGCTGGAGTTGCACTACTGTGTCCCGCTGGTCCTGTTCCATGTCATCCTCTGTCAAGATCCAAAATGCAAACAGGCATCAGACAGACCATACCCATAAGGGCCACAATCCAATGACTGTCATTAAATTCAGTCAGTGGGTTCAATGACAAATGGTGAACCACCACACAAACTTTGAATATTTTTCAGAAAGAAGACATTTTTGGTTTATTCCATTCATTTTTTGGAATGAACCGGAGGGGAAATAGTAAACAAAACTTAATAACAAGAGTACAAAAATTATGCATTAAAGGACTGAGTTTGTGACGCATGTCTATGGTGGAGTGATTTCCCTATCTAGCAGATGAGCCTCTGCCTGGGATCGGAAGGTCACTGGTTTTAACCCAGCCTTGGCTGAATAGTTATGTCTGTGGGTCTGTGGGCAAGGCCCTTAACTCCCAGCTCCATGGGCGTCGCTATGGGTGGCTGCCCTTTAGCGCCTATGTATGGAGAGCCGAATGTGGTAGGCAAAAAGAGAATTTCCCTACAAGGATCAAACAAGTATCATTTCATGACTTTCAGCAGGTTATAAGTGGTGCAGTGCTCCTAAAATTTGAGCTTATAAAGTGCAAATGAACTCGGCTTAGGTATAGGGGTTAGGGGATAAGGTTAGGCATAGGATTAGGCTTAGGTTTATGGGTTAGGGTTAGGCTTACACAGGATGAAAAGCTGTGCTGATGTTCTCCCATAGCAGTTTTAAAGGTTCTCTTGTTATTATTTGCAGTAACCCCGTTAACAAAGGGCAGTTTTATTTTCGGTATCAACATGACAAAATTAAAATTGCTGTGATGAATGCCTAGCCTAAAATTTAGGTCAAGTGAAAAAAGACTTTTATTGAAGAGCACAACATAGTGGATTCATTCAATAGCCATGTAGGAACCCAGCTAACATTAGATAGGGTAATAAAAGCAAGATGACTCCTGCTGTCTAATGAACCCTGACAGAAAGCATACCAATCAGCCTTAGGTATGACTCCTAAACTCCCCAGGTTCCCTGACAGAAAGCATACCAATCAGCCTTAGCTATGACTCCTATACTCCCCAGGTTCCCTGACAGAAAGCATGCCAATCTGCATTACCTACGATTCCTAAACTCCATGGGTGCCCTGACAGAAAGCATGACAGAGGTGTGGCCAAGGTGAATAGCATGCCACCAATTCAAAGCGTCCATGTCCGGACAGTATACAGCACCAAATATCAGTTATATTTCACTTCTCCATCCACTTTCAGCCTTTCCATCCACATTCACTTCCATCACATCATAAATACGACAGCGTGGGCTCTCACTAGTCACCTGCAATTTCTGTCTCTGGGGTCTCTCTGCTCAGCCTCTCCCCCTGCTGGCCACTCCCAGAAACAGGCGAGGACACAGTTGAAGGCACAGATCCATTAGCCTCTGAATCATCTTTGGGCTGAAAAACAATAAACTGGTCTGGAATCTGAGTGGTGTCAAGTTAATGAAAATTCCGTAATCAGATTTTCATTCATAAAGTCATGCATCAGCATTCACAGCAAATCTTTAACATTTTTAACAAAGGACCTCATGCTATATACCCTAAAGACACTTTATGCAATAATGCACATTTACCCCTCTGTGCACCTGCTTAGACATTTACTTGTTTGTGCAATTCCAATAATGCTTGTCTAATTTATAGCTATAGCTAAATAAAATCAATCTGCATATATATGCTAAATTGTGAACTATTAAGAGTAGACCCCCGTTATGGAATATGAAGCAGTTCCATTTTTCCTCCTCCTTCACCTGCAGCAGTAGATCCCTCAAGCGCTGGAGCTGTGACTCCAGCTGTTTGTTGTGCTCCTCCAAGATCTGCATGCGGGTCTCCAGCCGACTCTTGTGCTGCCTCAGGACTCTGGCCTCAGCCAACAGCTCCTCATCCTGCTCGCCTGGGGCTGAGCCAGAAGCCCCCTCAGCCAGCTGGGGTGAGGCTGCAGCTTCTGCATGCTGCCATTTCAGGCGCCGGTACTCGCCCTGCAAGACCCTGACGGAACAGGACGACATCAGTCATGCTGTAAGGTGAGCCCTGTGCCACTTCAGGCGCCGGTACTCGCCCTGCAAGACCCTGACGGAACAGGACGACATCAGTCATGCTGTAAGGTGAGCCCTGTGCCACTTCAGGCGCCGGTACTCGCCCTGCAAGACTCTGACGGAACAGGACGACAACAGTCATGCTGTAAGGTGAGCCCTGTGCCACTTC